GCAGCAAAGATGGAAAACTTGTTGTTGCACATGATGACGATTTGCTGCGGGTCACGGGGAGGCCCCTGAGGATTTCGGAGACAAACTTCCAAGACCTCCCGCCCCTGCTGCCCTCCCACTTGCTGCAGCAGCGCCAGAAGCGCCCCAACCCGCAGCAGCAGCAGCAGCAGCAGCAGCAGGGGGAGGGCCGCGGCGAAGACGGCCTGCGCGAGCGCCACCCGCAGCAGCAGCAGCAGCAGCAGCAGCAGCAGGGCGCGCCCGTGGACGGGGAAACGCGCGCCGAGCGCGCCCAGCAGCCGCCGGAGCCGCAGCAGCCGCAGCAGCCGCAGCAGCAGCAGCAGCAGCAGCAGGAGGAGGAGCTGCTGATGGAGTTCTACCCGGAGTTTGTTTCTTTTCCGCGCTGCTTCGGGGCCGAGAAGATCCCGCTGCTGGAAGAAGTTTTCGAAAAGTTCCCGGGGGCCCTCATCAACGTGGACTTGAAGGGGCCCCCCTGTGCTGCTGCAGTGGGGGCCCTTGTGGGGCTGACAGCAAAGTACGGGCGGCAGCAGCAAACAGTGTTTGCGGGCTTCGACCAGGACAAGTTGCTGCAGATCAAGCAGCAGCTTCCTGCTGCAGTTGTGGCTGTGGGGCCCCGCCGCACTTTGCTGCTGCTGCTGCTCTACTACACCGGGCTGCTGCCCTTCTGCAGCATTTGGGAAGATGTCTTCGAGCTGCCGGTGTCTTACTCTTATTTGCTGCGGGACAGTCTGCGCGCAGCAGCAGCAGCGCGGCGGCGCTGCAGCAGCAGCAGCAGCCGCTGCAGCAGGTGGCTCGCGCGGCTGGGGTGTACAGACACCGCAGCAAAGGCCCGCGCCTGGCTCTCCTTCGCACTTCTTTGTAATCCCAGTTTTATTTCTTCTCTCAAAAGAAGAGGACTTTTAGTTTTGGGTTGGGTTGCAAATTCCGAAAAAGAGTTCCAAGATGCTTTTTACAGAATAGGCTGCCACGGGGTCATGACCGACAGACCCAGCTGCCTCCAGGCCTGGCTTGCTGCTGCTGCTGCTGCTGCTGCTGCAGCAGCAAAGGGCCGCCCGGCGGGGGCCCCGCCCGCCCCCAAGCGAGACTGAACCTGCCCCGAACGGGGCCCCCAGCGCCGGGGGGCCCCCAAACCCCGGTGGGGCCCCAGCCTCGCTGGGGCCCCCAACGGCTCGGGGGGCCCCCGGGGGGCCCCAGAGCCTTGTGGAAGCCCCCAAGGACTCTGGGGGCCCCGAGGGTCTTTTGAATAACTCCGAAAGCATTAGGGGCCCCCAAACCATTAGGGTACTGGTTGCCAATGCACACTTCCTCGGGGGCCCCCGAGGGGGCCCCCACCTGGCCTCTTCTGGGGGGCCCCCCGAACCAAGCAGGGGCCCCAGCGCGTCCTGGGGGCCCCCCGTTGATTCCCTGGGGGCCCCATCTTGGGGCCTCCTGAAGGGGCCCCCCAAGATGGAGCCGATTGCCTGGGAGCCCCATCTTGGGGGCCCCTGAAGGGGCCCTGGGGACCCCTAAGGGGCCCCCGGGGCCCCCCGAAGGGCCTTCAGGGGGCCCCAAATGCTGCTGTGTTGCGGATACTTCTTGTGTCTCTTTGCATGCATTATTGCGCTGCTATAAAGTGTCTCTTTGGGTCTTTTGCCTTCTCGAAAAAAAGCCAAAAAGGTTCTTTTCGGGTTTCCGGGGGTCCCTGCATGCATGCGGCTGGGCTGTGGGGGCCCCCTCGCATGCAAAGAGGCACTGCATGCAGCCCCGAACTGGGGCTCTGCATGCAGCGCATGCAGGCAAAGTCGCGTGTGCGCATGCATGCAAGTTTGGGACTTCTTTATTTTGCAAATGTGCGCATGCAAGTGGAAGTATATAAATGAAAAAGGCCCTAATAATGCATTTTTGTGAATATTGAAATGCACGTAAAAGGAATATTCACTTTATTCATTTATTTGCACAAGTGCTTCCTTTAAACACACAGACATGTGCAGAAACTTTCACATTTATGTATACATATGCGTGCATATTATATATATATATAATATATACTATATATATTATATATATAGTGTATATATTATATATTATATATTATTTATATATATATAATATATATATAGCTGCGCCTCTGTATACATTATGAAGATGCTATGTATATATATATATAATATTTATTTATTCCCCTCTATAATGTCTCTATCTTTATGTAAATAATAAATAAATATGTATATATATATTATATATATGTATATGTACAAAGATGTAACTCTCAGTGCTAAATAAATAAAACAAGTTTTGGCGCCAGCATCTTTTCCGGCGCTGACAAGAAAACAAAAAGAAAGGCGAAACTTTTCTTTTGCCGTTTTGGGCTGCTGCGTGCGCAGCGACCAAACGCATGCATGCATGCATGCATGCATGCAACCAAACGCATGCATGCATGCATGCATGTATTCATGCATGCAACCAAACGCATGCATGCATGCATGCATGTATGCGTGCATGCAACCAAACGCGTGGATGCATGCATGCATGCATGCATGCAGCCAAACGCATGCATGCACGCATGCATGCATGCATGCGTGCGTGCGCGCATGCAAGCAAATGATTGCTTGCATGCATGCGTTTGCTCGCACGCATGCGCAGTCTTGGGGCTTTGTAACTCAGGCACTTTCCAGACCCCTGCGCGTCTGTTTCTGCATGCAAACATGCATGCAAACTGATGAATGTGAAGATTTATTCCAAAATTTAAATATTATTTTGATTGTTTATCCAAATTTGATGCATGTTTCGAGTTCAGAATGCTTATAGTGCTTCTGTGTGTCTGGAAGCGTCAGGTGTACATACACCTGGAAGAGCGGAGTCGCCGGGTGTCTGTACACCGGTGCAAATGAGATGAAAATAAAGTTATTTCAGTTGTGTTAAATATTAGTTATAAATTAATATAAATTAAATCCATCTGGCCTCTGGTATAATAATCTACTTTTCCCCTATAAACCGGGGATTGGCGAGGGTGTACATACACCTGAAAGCAAATGAAGTCGTTATTATTTCATTTTTAGTATTTCTAGATTGTTTTGTTTTCCGGGCATAGTCTACAAACAAATATACTCAATAAAAATTTATATGCACACATATATATATGTATATCTATATGTGCATAATTATATTAAAAAAGCAGTATCTGTATACGATAGATATGAATTAAAAATGCAAAAGTTTATATATACATATATAAACACATCCATATATAAACATGCATTTTTCACTGATATTATCGTACATAGGCGTTCCTTTAGTTAGAAATAGTTTATTTGTGAAAATATGTTTTTGAAAATTTATTTCTTTTTATTTATTCTTTTTTAGCGTGTTCTTGTAGGTACGCCTCTAGCTTGTCTCTCTTCAAAGACCGGCATCTAATTAGCTGGGAAGTGCAAATATATAAATATTTATATATTTGTTTATTTTTTATTTTATTAACTTGTTTATCTATTCATTTACAACTGTAAATGCATATATACATGTGCGTATATAAATCTAAAGTGTCTTATGTCCAGCAACTAAACATTTGTCTGCGCATGCATGCATGCATGCATGCCTATTCGCATGCATGCAAACTAAATAAAAAACATATTATATATTTTTTAAAATAATAAAAGTATTTACGCATTCATATTACACATATCTTCCACGTATTTGCTTTATATGCGTCGATTGTATATATAAATATAAACTTACATACATATATATATGTATATATAAATATATATATATATATATATTTCCACATGTATACACTTTATATAATTAGATGTATATGTATAATTATGTGCAAATATATTAGAATATCTATTCTTTAGAGTAATACCTTTTATATTTATTTATAAGCATATATGTGTTATACATTCCCTGCATATGTACTCTATATGTGCATATTTCTACATTGATACTTCTGTCCATATGCATGCATGCATGCATGCATGCATACAAGTCTATATGCATATAAGTGCCTCTAGAAGCATTTGTCGACAAATATATAAGTACCTCAAGCATGCGGGCATGCATGCATGCAAACATGCACATATACTTGCATGCATGCATGCATGCAAGTATATGGCATGCATGCGTGCATGCAAGTATATTTGCACATATGCATGCAGATGAGAATTTCTGCATTTTCTTCTTTTCGGATGAGAACAAATCGAGACTCAAGGAGACACTTTTGAAGTCCGAAAAAAAAGAAAACCTGTTGCTGCTGCTGCTGCTGTCGCTGCTGCTGCTGTCGCTGCTGCTGCTGCTGCTGCTGCTACCTACCGTTCTGCCTCCTACGCTAGAGATGCACTTTTCCACACTACTCGCCAGCCGCGCCAGCAGCTGCAGCAGCATCAGCAGGCGCTGCTGCTGCAGCAGCT